GAAACTGTATTCCTAATTCCACTACTTCTTTCCCTAAACATACCCAACCGCATGATCTGATCAGCCCCTGCATGCTTTGCTTAGTAGATATGCTACAGTAACCGAAATAGAAAAATGGATTATTTGCTGTAGCAATTAAATCATACATTAAAGTAAATGCTAATTAAGTACTAGTCCGGCTAATACTTTTAATTAACTGTTTAAAAAAAAGAAACATTAATTACATTTAAATGTTAATGTTCCTTTTAAATAATACAAATAAATATAGCATGAGGATCGAAATTAAAATTAAAAGCTTATGAAAATAAATTGACAATTTCCCTATATATGATAAAATAAGAAATGATTTTATTGAGAAAAATTCATGTTACTTTTAACAAAATTTTGGGTATTATAATCTTTCCCTGTAGGCATGACGACACATAGATGGATACTTAAGGTTGTCCCCACCACGCTAGAGAAAAGCATGTACAGGGCCTACCCGTCTCGCTGCAAGCTTCGCATTGGATTCCCTCCCACCACGCTAGAGAAAAGCTTTTATAAGTATGATGTTGGACTACAATGCTTGCAATGTTTTTATTAAAAGCTTGCACAACTTATTGATTAGAGAAATAATAAATAGAACTATTAGCAAATAAAACGATGAATCAAAACGTAAGAGCAGTCACTTTCGTTTAGGCTAAGTTGCATATCAAGATATTTGAACCATCAAAATATCGTAGGAAAACAATATTATGCAAAGTAGTAGCTTTCAACGAAAATCCCTAATCTAACAATAAGATTAAGAAAATAATGAAGTGCACTCAATTCCCTATGTTTACTAAACTCGGCAGAATTGGGCAAACGCGTCCTTCATGACTACAATCAAATCACAAGAAAGGGTTATGCTTAAGAAATACGAGAAAAGGAAAATTGGAAAACCTTTGTCAAGAATCGGTTGTAATCCTCCAGTCGACGATCTCAAGGTGCTCTTCAATAGCTTCAACCAAGGTGTCCAAGATGCGTTCTATGTAGTCCTCAACCATATGGTCGATCCTTGGGTTGACGTCGAAGAAAGTTTAATGGAGATGTGCACGAAGCCGTGTTCATCGTAGGCAAGTCCGTAGTCAGTGTCGGGATCGGCCATTCATGAATGCTAGATGACGATTTCTTCCAAACATTGCTAGTAATCTTGAACTCCGTTGAAGCGAAAGAAGTTTCTCTTCAACTTTAAGTGGGGTGACAAGGTGTGACCGGCCAAAGGATGGAGGCTTAGGGAGAAGTTAAGTTCAAATTTTGTGGAGAAAGAGGTGCCAATCAATCCTCTAATTAATCCTCATGCATGGAATTAGTTAAGAGGAGATGGAGAGAGGTAAGGGGCGGCGGTATGAGGGGGAACTAGGGAGATTTCTTTCCAAATCACAATGCTTTCTATTGGAAAGGAAATAAGGATGAGTGGGGTTATGAGATTTCGGCAGGAGGATTGGGAGATTTGGAAATCTTTCCAAGAGAGAAAAGGGGGGCTTTAGGAAACAAATCCAAGGGAGTTTAATGAGGGGAGTCCGGCGGCATGATGGGGCTAGGTGAATTAAATGCTAGGTTTCATGCTTGCTTAATTTAGGTTTAGGAATTAGGAAAGTGTTAAAATAAATCCAATTTGAATTTGAAATTCGAATAGATTTAATTTAGGAACTTTCCTAAAATAGATGTGAGTAATCTATAAAAGATTTTAAATTTTAAATTGTTTGAATTTAAATTCTAAAATCTGTCCAAATTATGCCAATCCAAATTAGGCAAGGGAAAGCAATGGGGAGGGGGGTCTTGGGCCGGTGGGTTTGAATGGGTTTTGGATATGGGGGCCGGCAGCTAGGTGGGAATTATATGGAGTATGGTGGAGAGAAGGGGAAGGGTTTGGGGAAGGAAAGAACCGTGGGATGTGATTTTGGCTGGTGGTGGAGGGAAGTTAAGTGGTCGGCGGCAAGGCTTGGGAGAACCTTGACCGGCGGCTAGAGGATGGAACAAGGGGTTAATGAGAAGACAAGGTAAGGAACCACGAACCTGGCCATCTCCAAGGTTGGTGGGTGATCCGATCTCCCTCTCTTAGGGATTCCTCCCTCAAACGCTCATACGATCTCACAAAGAAATCACAAGGGAAGAAAATTTATCATTCATTCATTAATTTGCAAATAAGAATAAGGGGGCTATAAATGGCCTCTTACAATGACTCAAATATAAAGGATGACAATGCCCCTAGGGCTTACATAAGAAATCCCTTAATAAAAGGGTACAACGGGAAACTAGTAAAGCAAATACTATGCGAGAACATAAATAAGAAAATACATAAAACGACTCAAAAATACAATGACTCAATCGTGGCCATAGATCGACGGCCACGTCTCTGATAAACCTTTCATGATCTTATGCCCCCATCAAAGTAGTTTTTCGGTGCGCCGTGAGCATCGAAAATGAGTTTTTGGAGGTTTTGAGTTTTGAGGGATCATTATACCTTAGCAAGGTGGCGACATCAGCGGCGAGGTGCCGGCGTCAGCGATAAGGCGGAGACGTCAGCGACGGGGCGGGGACGGCTAAAAATGTGCACATGAGAATTTTTTTCTTTTTCTTTTCTTTTTTTTTCTTTTTCTTTTGGATATCTCTCTTTTTTTCCAAACTCTCAAGAAGAAAAAGAAGAAGAAGAAGAAGAAAGGGGGAGATGCCTGTAGGATTTGGTGAAGGAGATCAAGTGAGGTTGTTGTGGATGGAGTTTGGGTTGAGCGGATTGAGGAGTTGGAGTGGTGGGATCCAGCTGCAGGGGAGGTCTCAGGTAGAGGAGGCGAACGTAAGGTCAAGATGGATCAGATGGAAGCTGGAATCGGTACAGCTGCAGGTGGAAGATGTGTTCAGTTCGACAAATATTGCGTGGTCGGTTGAGCTTGGGGTCGAATGGCTTTATGGATGGCTTGAGTAAAACATGTCATAATAGGTATGGACGGGAGGAGGAGAGAACGAGAGTGGGGATTGGAGCAGGAGTCTTGCGATAGGAGGAAACGTGCAGGGCAGGTGAGCCTTGATTTGATTGGATGTATGTGATCGTAGGGAGCTGGTTCGTTCGAGAATGTTTCGGCGTCTGATCAGAACAGAGGAAGATTGATCGAGTGATTGGAGTCGTGCTTGCGGTAGTGTGGTCGTGTAGAGACGTTCGGCCATGAGAGGGATCTAGAAAGGAGTTCGCTTTCGGGTAGATTGGCTGCAGGCGACGAGTGAGGAAGAATCGGAAGATCGGACTGTGATAAAGGTTGGAGTCTTCGTCGAGGAGTGGGGATCTCTGGCAGTTGGAGACGAGCAAGGAGTGTTGGTGAGATCATGCATCTGAAACTGGAGCTTTCACGACTGAGACTAGAGAGGGCTAGGGGTCTTCTTGTGAGAGGGAGATGGGAGTAGATTGGAGAGGGGATATTGGAGATTGGATTTCGGTTGGCTGTGAGTGGGTAAGTGACGGGCTAAGATGCAGATAGCGGGATATCTATTTTCGAAGTGCCAAATTGCAGGGGATGGGACTGTAGCAGGCGGCGATATGGGGATTTCAGTGGGATTTGTGGAGGTTTTTGGCAGGATACAAGGTATGGAGGTCAACAGAGGTTTACACCATGTTGGGGTTAAGACTCATCTTAAGGCGCACCTCTGTGCATTTTGTAAGAGGCATAAGCCTAAAAAATTAGAACTTAAATTCTATAAAATTTTTAGTTTATAAATTTATTTTTTGTTATTTGTCTACCAATAGAACTATGAATCAGAATCACATGCACCTCAACTTTCAATTGCAATCTGCACTCATACCTGATGCAATTTGCTCTTGCAGCTGCAACTAAGGATGAGTGAGGAGAGGAAGCAACTTACTCTAATGATTATTCTAATGAAGGCCCATTAAGTGATGAAAGTGGAGAGAAATTTTGAATTAATAAATTATAGTCTTAGGGATTTAACTACTTATTTATGTTGAATTGAGAGTGGGAGTGACTTATTATTATGATCTAACTTTGATGTTAACATATTACCTATCATTTTATATTTTTTATTAATTTAATGTCTTTATTATGACGCGTATACCTCAAAATGCCTTGAGGTTTCAACCTCATCTCACAGATAAAAAAAATGCTTCAATATGGTTGCATAATTTCGAACCTTATTTGAAGGAACTATTGAATCTACAACTAAAAGGAATTATTGAATCTAAAACTAAAATAAGTCTTAGTAACATTTGATTATGTGTGCTTTATTATTGACGAGAGATTAACTTTGGCATATTGCTCGTTTTTAGGAGATAATCTCATGAGTTGGAGAACTAAAAACAAAATGTGGTAGCAAGATCTTGCTCTTAGTTTGAGTTTAGATCTATGACATTGGGAATCCACGAGTGCTATTGCTAAAGATTAACCTAAAAGATTTAAAGGTTTATTGAAAAGGTCTTATGAGGCTCTATTGTGATAACAACTTAGCCATCAATATTACACATAATCTCATGCATTATGATCAAGCAAAGCATATTAAAGTTGGTAGATATTTTATAAAAGAGAATCTTGGAAGTAGTCTAATATGTAATCCCATTAGTAATCATAGATGAATTGCTTGTGGATATGATCATCAAAGAATTATTTGGGTCATCATTGAAAAATTGTCAAGAAAGCTTGAAATGAATGATGTCTACTCATTCATTTGAAGGGGAATATAAACGGCATCCTGAATTTTTCCCTCTTCCTTGATGCTGCAATTTTATGGATTTGTGTTTGTAGGATTCCTGCTACCAACTCAGCAACCCATGCAACTATTGTAATTCTATATAGTTATTTCTATTCCCTGATCTTGCATTTTTTTCCTATTAGAATCTCTTGTATGATTATTTAAATTTAATACATATTTGAATGAATAAAGATACAACAAACTATTTTCTAATTTTTGTTATTTTTTAATTATTTTTACATTTTTGCATTCTTTTATTATTATTTGAATAGTTTTCCATACATCAGGTCTTGCATGCATGGTCTATCCAGGAGCAGTGCATACTCGATTTGAACATTCTTTGGGAGTTTATTGGCTGGCTGGACAGTCTCTGCAGTATCTTCAAACCTACCAAGTACGTAACTTTTCCAGATCATTTTGTTTGCTTTCTTAAATGCAATCAATTATTATTATTATTATTTTTGTTTTATGCAGGGTGCGGAGCTTGATATTGATCATTTTGATGTGCAGACAGTGAAACTTGCAGGTAAATTGTAGCATCAAGACTTTCCATGAATTTGATAAATCAACTACGGTTATCATTGTTACTTGTTGCCTTAACATATGTTCAATATCTCGATGTTTTTTAAGATAACAATATTTAAGCTGTTGTTGAAAACTGCTATCAATACATTTCGTGTTACATCATTCTATTTCTTTTGTGTTTGTAGGCCTTCTACATGATATAGGACATGGACCTTTCAGCCATATGTTTGAGCATAAATTTCTCCCCCGTGTCATTACAGGGTCAAATTGGTATTCTTTTCTACTTAGTATTTCATTCAGAAGTACAAAATAATAGCTTACGATTATGTGGTTTTTCCTTGTGTAGATGACTAACCATCTTGCTCTCATGCCTGCTCATGTTTCGTTACAGAATTTATGGTATTAATTCTCCAATTTATCTGTTGAATTCTCAATAGTCCCATCCTTTTAATTTGATATATGAGTCAGCTCCAGAATTGTTTTTTGTTGGTTTAGTCCAGTCCTAACATTCTTTCTCCATTCTCTTAGAAAGCATGATACTTCATTTCTAGGAACATAAAGGCTTGCATTAATTAATAGTAATAACTCCTAATCTGCCAAGTAGTACATGTCATCCACTATCACCATTTGAAAGTATATAAATTTTATTTGCTGTAATTTTCTTCTATTTATGGATATTTCCTGTTTAGGTCTCACGAGCAGATGTCAGGGAAGTTGGTGGATTACATTGTTGATCAGCATCACATTGACATTGATTCTGAATGCCTTAAACAAGTAAAAGTAAGAGATGTTACGCCAAATATTTTTCATGTAAATGCATAAGTTAGAACCCTTTTGCCTTTGCTCCATCAATTTCTTAAGACAACCCCTAGAATTAAATTTTTTGTAAGTTTTTCAGTACCTGTGACAATGTTCGCTAGATATGTTTTCGATCAAGCTCTTGGTAATTGTCTGTTTGTAGGCTCGATAAGGCACGTTTGTTAAGCTAATGAACATCTTGAAAGAAAGGCTCGTTAATAGCTTGATAAGACTCATTTGTTTAAAGCTTGATAAGCATGAAATGAATCGAACATGAACTAAACACAAACCAAACATGAGAATCTATCTTTTTAAACACACCTACAAATAAAAAAGCTTGTATTGAGCTCGAACCAAACTTGAAGAAGCTGATAATACACAAGCTCAAATATGAACAAACACCTACTCGACTCGATTCGTTTGCAGCCCTAAACATGACTAAAATGTTAAATGCTTCTTGTATTAGGTACTAGTCTAATACTCTCTCTTATTCTTCTAACCAAGAACCTTTGGAAAAGATTGACACATGAATGGTGCTAAATTATTAGATGTGTTCATAGGAAATATTGAATCAGTCATCCTTATCACAACTATTTTTTATCATCTATATGAATCTCTATTTTCTATTTATGAATCCTCATTTCTATTTCTATATGAGGTGTTAAATCTATTCTTCGCAAATCTTTTTTAACATCTATTCATGTTATCTTAAAACGATCAATTTTGTCCTTTCATTGTACATCTAAATAACCTAATTTTTTTTTTCAACTACCTTATCTTCAATTTCTTTTATTATTTTCAATAGTTGATGCACTAACATCCCTCTAATCTAACCATTCCTTTATTTGTTGTCCCTAGATTCTCCATACATTCATTTTAACACTTGCATTTACAAAATGTATAACTTAGTTATCAACAACTACTTTATTGCGCATTTGCGCAACACTTGTATTCTTACAATATTTTTAGCCTAACTATATTTTTATGATGTTTTTATTTTAGACCTCAATGGTATTTTTATTTTATACTTGTCGATATTCTATTTCTTTTTAACAATATATCTAAAATACTCAAATCTATTTTATACTCTAATAATATTGTTTGATAATTATTTGCACATCCCCTAAAATTGTGTATTAATCTTTGTTATACTAATTCTACTCAATCTTTTGAACATTACTCAATTGTTCTAACTTCATAATTATTTCGATAAATGTTTCATTAATTATGGTCATATCATATGCGGACACATCTCGTGTTAAGCGAGGTCGCCGATCTTCTGAAAAATTTGTTGTTTATCACCTAATAATTTGCTTCCTTGATTTTGAGCTATCACTTGTCGCCAATTTTTCTGTTGGTTTTCTTTGTCTTTAGATATTCAATGAACAGGTTGGTCCAACTCGTTGGATGACTGACCTCTATTTGCATGACTTGTTTTTCTTCTATGATAGGCCTTAAGATCCTCATTGCTGGTTGCCTCTCTGGGTTTCCCTGCTTGAAGAAAAGGTCGGCGAGTTGGTTTTGCCCTTTATGGATCTGAGTGATCTTGAAGTACTCTAGCTTGCTTATTTTTTCTTCACCTTAAAGAGGTACTTTTGGAGTAATTAATCTTTGATTTCGTACTTGCCATTGATTTGGTTCACCATCAATTGAGAGTTTGAGTATATAACAAATTGAGCTACCTTAAGCCCTACGATAAGTTACAAGCTAGCGAGTAGTGCTTCATACTAGACTAGATTGTTGGTGACTTGGAATTCAATGATGGTTGCTTGAGTAATGGTGATTCCTATTGGGCTATTCAGAACCATGCCCACGCCAACTCCTTGCTTGTCTCATGCGCCATACACGTACAGTGTCCAATAATTATGCAAAGTTTCTTTCTCTGACTTTGTTGCTTGGACTGCTAGAGTATACTAAGAAGTCGGCGAATGCCTGGGCCTTAATGGCCATCCTTGGCATATAGGTGATATGGAACTCGCTTAGTTCCATCGACCTCTTGAGTAACCTTGTCAAGTGATTGGGCTTGGCGAGCACAACTTTGTGCGGGTGGCTAGTCACAACTTGGATGGGATGGGCCTGGAAGTATGGTCGCAGTCTCTTTGTCGAGACCACTAGTGCCAATGTGAGTTTCTCCATGATTGGGCTCCTTTATTTTGTGCCTCTAAGTGTTTTGCCTATGTAGTACAGTGGCCACTACTTCTTCCCTTCTTTTATATGCACAGAGTTGATGGCGTCCTCGCCCACTCCTATGTACAATAACAAGTTCTCGCTTTGTCACAGACTTTGGAGGAGTGGTGGTGAGGAGACAATAAGTTTTAACTATTGCAAGTTGACCTCGTAGTCCTCACCGCAAGTTAATTATTTTGTGCTTCAAAGGACTTTGAAGAAAGGTAAGCATCTCTCACCTAGTCGAGAGATGAAATGATTTAGCTTGACTACTCTTTCATTGAATCATTGCACGTGCTTAACTCACTTCGGCAATTTCATCTCCAAGAATGCTTTTACTTTATCTGGGTTCTCCTTAATCCCCTCAATTGTAAGGAGGAAGCCAGGAAAATTCTCTAAACCTCCACGAAAAAATGGACTTTAGTGGGTTCAATCACATGTTATACTTTTTGAGGGTGTCAGATATATTGTTGAGATCCCCAATATGCTAGTCGAGCAACTTGCTTTTCACTAGGAGGTCGTTGACTTACACCTCCATATTCCTTCCCTTGTGTCTTTGAAGATCATATCCATTATGTGTTGATAGGTTGCTGCATAATTTTCAAGCTAAAGGGCATCACGTTGTAGCAGTATATGCTCTCGGAAGTGATGAAGGTTATTTTCTCGCAGTCATTTCAGTACATTTTAATTTTGTGATAGCATGAGAAAGCATCAAGGAAACTCACACTCCCCATTTGCCCTTGATCCTCTTCCCATTTATGGGTCATGTCACTCTAGAAAATTTGTAAATAGACCCCTCCTTCCTCTTGAAAAGGAACCCTAAATCTAAGGATGAAAGAGAGAGATCGGAGATTGCTCTTGCCTCCTTGCCTCCTCTACCACCACATGGAGTCTCGCCAAATCACCACTTGAGGCCCCGAGCTCTGCCAGACTACCACCCTGAGCTCCGTCGGACCACCACTTGAGGCGTTGAGCTCCGTCGGACCACCACTTGAGGCCCTGAGTTCTTCTGGACCACCACCTAAGGCACAGACTTCTGCGGACCACCACCTGACGCCCGAAGTTCCATCGGACACCCGAAGTTCTGCTAGACCATCACCTGGCACCCGGTGTTCTGCCAGACCACGACCTGACATCCGGTGTTCTTCCAGACCACGACCTGATGCTCGAATTTCCAAGTAATGCCAGACTTTTGAAGGACCACCAAGCGATGCCAGACTGTCATCCCCACTTGTCGCTAGATTTCAACCAAACGGTTGGCATTTGTAATTTGATCGCCCTCAAGGACGAGTCAGCCCATTGTAATATACTAGAATTCTAGTGTAATCATTTTCAACTGGGCCAAGCCCCGTAGTTTTTCCCCTTTTCAGGGTTTTTCAGGTAAAAAAATCTCGTGTTCTTTGTGTGTGAGCTAGATATCCGTACGACACTAAGATGTGTGATTATAGCTTTATCGCTGCATATATTCTAGCCCGCAACATGAATGAAATTAATGTTTAAAATTGAAATAAAATGTCAAAATACTTAAAGCAAAATACCTATCCACCATCCACAACAGTTTTCCGTAGTGGACAAGTTTTAAAAGCACTTTAGCTCATAAAGAGCAAATGTTTGGTTGAGAATATCACTAGGATTCGTTTTCAATCCGTCTTTTGTCAGTGAGGACGTGATATATGTCATCTAATCGTTGATTTCGCTGTCAGATGACACCACAGGTAAACAGTTCTGATCGGGACCCTTTAACAGGGTAACTTTGCCGCCAAATGGCACCATTAAATTGCGGTCATGATCAAAGCATGTGTGTTTTCCAACGGCATTAAATATTTGAGTAATGAATCGTTAGGATTTGATCGATAGGGCACAAAGCCCTCTATTAGTTAAGGTGACTTCAAATTTGTCCCTTTAAGCAAATATCCATTCGTATGTCTACAAGGTATCCTTGGACGAAGCAATCCATGGCTACCAACAAGAATCCTTCTATCAGGTTGGGTCTATTACCACCTCTGACTAAGTATACCAGAGACTATGATGACCCGAGGCGACGAAACCATGGAATCTTGTTTGATTCTATCATCATTCCCCCCACCATTAGCTTTAAGTACAAGATGGTGAATTTCTAATTTTAGATATTAAATTTTAAATTCCTAAACATGTTACTACTATAAGCCAGATACTAAGTATTTGTTTGATGAGCAACCTTAATCGAAAGTTCTTTCTCGCCATGGGGAGGGATAATTAAATATAAGGGCTTATGTCTATAGGAAACCAGGATTCAAATCTTTAAGTCCTCGTAAAATGCGGGCGAAACCTCTGGGCAATGTCTTATTCAAAATTCAATCTATCTTCTAAAAATTTGACTCTAAATATACTCATTAAAACTCTCCTCGACAACTCCAAAAAAGAATGGGGCCGCAAAGAGGTCGGGTCGCGAATTTTCGAAGCCCACGTCATGCTATTAATTTGATAGTTTACAACTAGAACTATGTCGATCGCGGTGTCATTGTGTGTGGGTTCCTTCTTGCATGATTGTTGGCTTCAGTGAAGGTGATTGGGGTGATGTCTACTATGGGAACTTTTGAAGTACATCTTGAGTTTACTTCTCCAACTATGGTTCTTTTTGCACTTGCGGACTGCTCCACTTGTTCGTCGCATATGATAGCGAATACCACCCCCATAATGTGCTCAAAGTGAGTTGGAATTGGCTCGTTCTCACTGCTTTCAGTTGTTGCCTTTCTTAGGCACTATCTTGAATTAGTGAGTACATACTCTTTCAATTTTCTTGCCTCGACAAGGCTTTGCAGATGATGACGCTCTTTTGTATCGTGGTTGTGATCCTTGTAAAAACACAATATCTTGAGGTATCCTTGGTGTGCAACATCACTATCATTAGCATTTGGCACCAAAAAAACTCTTTGTTTTGAAGAGCCTCAATGAGCTTGGCCATGGACACTCTCAGGGAAGTGTAGGTGCGATAAGTTGACAAACGATGAGCAACTTCATTGTGGAAGGGGTGTAGCGCAAATTGGCTCCTCCACCCTTGGTGTCAGTTGCCTTGCAATCCTTTGTGGCCTTGTTTGTAGGGGTGCCTTTTGGTGCTCAAGGCAACGTCAGTCTCGGGATAAATTCGGTCTCTTGTCCCTTGGATGGAGAATATCTTTTCTTTTAAAATATTGGCATAAAAATATTATTTTTTTCAATTCATTTGATATCCTTTTCATCTTCGAAATTTTATTGGAAAGAAAATTATGAACCAGTTTATTGCAATATTTCAAATAACTCTCCAATTTTGAAAAAGGTATCTCTTATATAAATTATCCTTTCACTAAACCTACTCACCTCAACAATTTTATTTTCACCTCTTTATCTACTATTATCTTAACCATGTTTATATTATTTTATTTTTCAACTTTTACCATTATCTTAACCTTGTTTTTATTGTTAGCCTTTCCAAAATACAATAATTTATAATATTTGTGAATGACTTTTAAATCCTGTCTTTCCATTTAATTCCCTACAAACAAACAGTAATTATGATTCTTTTAATCTTAATTTCCACAAATGTTTTGTCTTCTGTTCAATGGTCTTAAAATTATATGCATGAAATCTAATTTTACTTAATCCTAGGCAATTCTTGCTCACCTTACACCGCAATTGAGATCCGTTCTAAGTCATGTGCCAGCCAACCCTTGTTTTTTTTTTCTCTACCACAAAAAGTTGACGGATGGCGGATGTACTTGGAGTTTTGAAGGGAAAAGCTTTTAATAGTAAAAATAGTTGGTGGTGGAATCCAAATGTGCAAGAAAAGATAAAAAATAAAAAATTTTGTTACAAAAGTTGGTTTAGATGTAAAAATTCTGATAATTGGGAAAATTATAAAGAGGCACGTAAGGAATCTAAGAAATTTATTTGCGATGCAAAGAGCATAATTTTTAATGATTTATAGAATAGATTATATACTAAAAAGGGAGAAAGATTTATGTATAAGTTAGCCAAACAAAGAGATAGGAGTAGTAAGGATTTAGTTCAAGTGAAGTGTATTAAGGATGAAGATCAAAAGGTATTTTTCTTAGAAGATGATATTCAATAAAGGTGGATGAGGTATTTTGCTAAACTTTTTAATGAAGAATGTAAAAAATACGAATGACTTTAGTGACTTTATCACTCTAAATGAAAATAAAGATTTTTATTTTTATCGGTGTATAAGTAAAACCGAAGTTAGAGAGGCTTTAAAGAAAATGAAGTGTGGAAAAGCTGTTAGACCCGATGATATTCCAATAGAGATGTAGAAATGCTTAGGAGATGAAGGAATTTCTTGGCTTATTAACCTTTTTAATACTATTTTGAAGACTAAAAAGATGTCAGGTCAGTGGAGAATGAGTGTGTTAATTCATATTTTTAAGAATAAAGGTGAGTGTGCGAATTATAGAGGAGTTAAGTTAATGTGTCATCCTTTAAAATATGGGAGCGAGTTATGGACATAGGTTGCGCGTTGATACTAAATGCCTTCTCAAAAATTAATTTGGATTCATGTCGGATACTCTCACTATGAAGCCATAACATTCTATTGTGAGGTTTTTGATGAAGAAATATAAAGAATAAAGGATATCTACATATGATATTTACTTTGATTAGAGAAAGCATGTGATTAAAGTTTCAAGAGAAGCGCTATGGAGGCTTCTTGAAAAAGAAAAAGTTAATAATGCTTATATTCAAAATCATTAAAATAACTGTTCATGTAATGAGCTTACTTGTGTTCAAACACAAGTGTTTGACCAAGTATTTTCCTATTCGGTTGGACATCAAGAGGATCAGCCTTAAGTCCATTCTTTTTGCTTTAGTCATGGATGTTCGCACTTAGACATTTGCAAATGGAGTGTACCTTGGTATGCTTTTTGCTTATGATATTCTTCTTGTTGATAAGACAAGAGGAGTTAAAGGTAAACTTGAATTATAGAGGTTAACGCGAGATTTTAAAGGTTTTGTAGATCTAAAAATTCGGAATATCTGGTGTAATTTTAGTAGCAATAAACCTAGCAGGGGATTTGACTTGCGATCAAGTCAATAATAAGAGTACACATTTAATATCTTGCGATCTATTTGTTCAGAGTGATGGTGAAATTGATGGAGATATTATCAGCAGAATTCAATTTGGATGGTTGAAGTGAGGAATGCATCAGGCTTATTGTGCGATAGAAAAGTCCCCCTCAAACTTAAGAAAAAATTTTATAAGATGGTGGTGAGACCTGCAAAGCTTTATGGTGCCAAATGTTGGCCATTAAAAGAGAAGCATAATACTAAGTCAAGTGTTGCAGAGAAGAGGATGCTTAGGTGGATGAGTGGCTTGACCCTTAGAGATAGGATACGAAATGAACATATATGTGAAAAGGTTGGAGTAGCTCCACTGGAAGATAATATTAGAGAGAGTCGCCTTAGATGGTTTGGTCACATTAAACGGAGGCCTTCCATTGACCCGGTTAGGAAAGTTGAGGTGTTAGATTTGACTTATGTTAAGAAAGGTAGAGGTAGACCTAAAACGACTTGGTTATAAAATATTAGATATGATCTTTCTTTATTAGATTTAAATGAGAATTTGACTTTTAATCGGACACAATGGCGAAAAAGGATTCATGTAGCCGACCCCACGTAGTGGGACAAAGGCTTGATGTTGTTGTCTCTACCACAAAAAAGTTAAATTGTGGTGAAACGCTTACATGTGATGTCCTGGCAAACTCTTATTTACTTCTCACTATAGTTAGTTTTGGTCATGACATGCTGCTTCTGAGGAAATTTGTAGCACTAACAACATTTAAATTTTGATTCATCACTTTGTTTTTATTCCTCTTTTTAGGATATGATAATTGCCAGTTCCAATGTGTCAGTGGCAAATGTAAGTACATTGGAAGCTTCGCGTGCTCTTTGATTTTATATACTATTTCTGAAATCAAGCATCTTCCTGCAAACTAAATTATAATTTTTTTATAATCTGTTTTCTTGAAAACGTGATGGCGTGCAGAGCATGAAAGAAAAACGGTTTCTCTATGACATCGTCGCTAATGGACGCAATGGAATTGATGTTGACAAGTATATGATGGTTATAAGTTAATTTCCTTAGATGTCCTTCCATTCAATTCAACTGGATTTTATGCTGTGAGGACTTTAATTGATATGCAGGTTTGATTATATTGCTCGTGATTGTCGGGCATGTGGACTTGGGTGCAATTTTCAATTCAGGAGGTAGATTTTGACTATTAATGAATTCACGATAATCCCAAAAGTTTAGGCCTTTGTGAATTGGGTGTATTAGTAGTGTATGCTTTGTCACGTGACATTCATAAAATTTTCTAACAGAATTTGGATGAGACAACCTATCAAACCATGATTGTTACGTGAAATTTTTTAAGTTCTTGATTTGGTATATATAAGTAATTTTTTTCTTATGATATACTTGAAACTGCAAACATAATAGACATCATGAGAAGAATATAAGCATCATTCGAGGGTTTCTTCCAATATATGTAGTTTGAGTTTTATTTTATTTTTTTCCTTCGTAATTGTCTTTCCACATAAATTGTCTCAAATCATAATGGCATTTTGCCACATTAAGCAACCTCTTTATTTATACTTATAGACCCACAGCATCCTTTGTATGATGTCTGAATTCGTCAAATTTGTAAAGTATTTAACTTTGATATAATGGTTATCAACTATACCAAATTAGGTAAGCTGGTTTGCTGAGAATTTCAACTTTACTAAGCAATTCAAAAAGCAAAAGTTCTTGCTTTTAACTGAAGTACAATTTGTCAATAAAAGGTTTATTGAAAAATAAAGAATGCTCATTGAATCAGTATTATCATTTGTTCCAAATATTTAAAGTTTTCTTTGTAAATTGTCATCCATTCATTTATGCTAAGTTACTATAAGAGATGCTAAATTTATTTTGTAGTCTTTTTGCACAGCACCTATTATCTTTGTTCCACCTATTTTCCTTCCAAATCCTAGCACAATAACTATATCTAACTTCTTATTTTACATCTTCCAATCTCCATTGTACATGTTGACGCTACTTAAACATTATTTTCTGACAATCTTTTCTTCAGTATGAGCTATTCACACAATACCTATTTAATAATTATTTATGATTCTATCTTCTTAGTTTTACCTACAACTATTTTAAAATTATTAATTCTACCACACAATTATACTTCCAACGATTTCCCTTTTGCTTAGCTCTTTTTTTTCTAGCTTGTCTGATTATTAATTTGAGATATGTACCTTTATGTTTCTATGACATTCTCTCATTCCATAGTACTCCTAAGTTCATCATTCTAACTGTTAAGTTGAGGAGTCTAATTTTTGCCCTATAAAAAAACCTTTATGCTTACTTGTGCTTCAACCATAATGTCAAGGTCACTGTGGGGGTTGGAGACTCTCTCAGGACTTTGGAGGTGCAGCTCTCAAAAGATATCCAATATTATGAGTTATTTTATGAAAGGTGTGTTGAGGATTCTATTGCACTTTTTGGTTTCCCTAGTATTCCTTTTATAAGGGGCACCACATTTAGTTAAGATTTGGGGGAATACGGCTTTAAAAAACTCCACACTTGAAACTTATAGTAAAATCTGCAGTAGTGACACTTGGATGTAGCCATCATTTGAATGAAACCTATAGAAATTCCTTGGTGCGTTTTGGTGGTGTGTTTGGTTGGAGCCGTGCAATTTATAACTCAAATTTTGTTGAGACCTAAAAAGTATTGTAGGGCTTCTATTTGGAGACTGCAAATGCATGACGCTTAACATGAATCATGATTGCTAGAGTACTTTTTTTATTTATAAAATAACTATTTTTTTGCAACTAAGGTAATTCTATTCTTTGTTTATTGTAGGTTATTGCAAAGCATGCGCATTATGGATGATGAAATATGCTATCCTACTAAAGAATGTTAGTACTTTCACTGATACAAAACAGCTTAATTTCAGCATACCTGCATGATCTGATATACTTGTGAAACAGATCTCACAGTTCACAAATTGTTTTCAACTCGTGCTGACCTTCATCGTACAGTATATACCCACGCTAAAGTTATGGTATTATGAGCACTTTTTTCTTTATATATATATTGTTATTTTTATAGTATTTCTTTTGATGATTGTTGAAGATCTGTTTGATATAGGCCCATTTTCAGACCGTCTATCAAAAAATGTTTACATTAAAGCCTAGTTTTTGTTGTTGTTTGATACTTTCTTCTTTAGTTTTGTATGCTCGTGTCATCCCTTTCTCCTAACAAGAATTATTCAATTTACACTTCTGATATTGCATTGACATTGATATTGTTATTCTTTTATATTAAAACATTCCTTCCTTTTTGTAGTTAAAAGACATAGAATTCATTTAAATTAACAACTAATTGCATCGCTACATACAACTCTTTTTGTATTGTAATGGGAACTAGCCTTATACATTAGGTATGCCTAGTTATTGTTTTGTAAACATTTAACAACTTAATTTTTTTTTAATTAATAATCTATGATACATAGACAAGAACACAACGATACAGCACGAACACTGAAAATGTCAATTATTGAAAATAATTGACGCGGACACAGCATTATAGTTTTAACATCTTAAAATAGTGCATAAAAATTAAATAATCATAACATTTGCCTGCTAGATGCTGTAGTGAGGACGGTGAGAAGACGGTTGACGGAGATACCGTGCTTTGGGTGATAATGGTGTCACTTGCCTGAGAATAGGGACAGGAAAATAGGGTTATTCTGCCTTGGGGGTTTCGATTCTTAGGAAATCAAAGTGGGATGATTCTTGTAGTCGGAAGAACAAGATGAGGCGAGATGCAAGGGCTCGGATGAATCGAGCTACGAAGAAGTCAACTCGTACGCAAGTTGCATGGGAGCAAAGATTGTTTTATTTGAACGTGCAACATGGGTGAGGCTAGTTACGACCTTTTGATTGAAGTCAATGCAAACCGGAGTTTGAAAGCAGTTGCTGAAGGGCGTTGGAATTAGGCCTTAAAATGGAGTTATTAATAACTCCATTTAATAAAGCAGAACTTCCAAACAGCTAATCTTGAATTAACTTTATTGTTTTAAACTAGAGGAAGCACTAATAACATGGTCTGAAACGAGCCTTGAAAAGTTACAAAAGGATAAGATAAATCAATGTTGACAGCAGAGTGAAAGTTATAATATCGTGGTACATGTTTTACTTTGTTTCAATTATTGATAAACAGTGCATACAGAAGTAACCACTATAATTGTGGAACTAGCTAAATTTGTACTACTACCTCCAATATGCACCTTGATGAAAGAAAAGTTAATGAGACAAGTCTAAGATCTCACAACAAATTAAAGCTGTAACAAATATGTATGTTAAAGATAAAAGAAACAAATCCAAACATTTCCAATTGGTAGAAGACTCTTAAGGTTTGAATTTCAGAAAAAAAAAATGGTCTTACATATTCACTTAGCCCTGATACTTCTGAAGTGCAACCTTCCATGGAAAAGTAAAAGCACTATTGTGGTTCAATATATTCCTTATAATAGCAAATCCACTACCAACAATCACCAAATGAACCCTTAATTTCTCAATAACTTATAATAATTGAGAAAATAACGAATTCTAAAAGGATGGGTGCTTCAGTTTGATTAGAATTTTTTGCAGAATCCAACATTAAAATTATAAATCGAAGATGCGCTTTAGATTAAATGAAATCCTTGAAGGTTTACTCTAGGTTTATACAGGTTTAAAATTGGATCGATTGGAATGCTTAGATGGTATAAAAGAAATGAGAAAGATCATAGATCTTTTGCCATAATTTCACAAAATAAGTAATAAGTGAATGCTAGGTTAAGATGTGTAAGGAGGTTCTCCCGAATGGGGGAGCAATTTGAAATCTAAAATGGCATATTCACCTGTATGAAATCTGACCCTGAAGCGACATGCGACCTATAATTTATGACAAGGACGATGTTTGTCGGATGCATCATGGAGTGCCGTTGCGAGGAGAATGAGTATAGTGGAATGAGTTGAGGAAGGACTAAAGAGATGTAAGGAGCTAATAATATTAGGTTTGAAGTTAGGGTATTTTTGTTATTGTCGGGTCTCAAAACAATGGGAATCAAAGGAACATGAAGACCTTTGTTGGTTGCGAGTAGCAGACGTGAAACATAAAATTTTTTGTAACTTCGTTTTCATGCAATTGTGGGCTCTGAAAATTTGGCCCCGACCTCCGCCCGCACATGATATGCTTTTTCTTCGGCGAGGGAGTTTTAACGAAATTAGTTTCGGGGTAAATTTTAGAAGGCAAATGGGTTTGTAGATAAGACACTACCCAGAGATTTCTCCCTCATTTTGCGAGGACTTTATGATCTGAGTTCTGGTTTCCTATAGGCACAAGCCCCTATAGTTAATTACCCCTCTTGATCACTAGAGACCTTTCGATTAAGGCTAGTCGTCAATCAGATACTTAGAGATACGTGTTATATGGCATATAGTAGCAGCATTGAGCTTAGGGTGATTGAGAGGTTTGAAGATTTGGAAATTTGGTATTTAAAATTGGAAATTTCACCATCCTGCACTTAAAGCGGATGGTGGGGGAATGGATGATGGACACGATCAAGATCCCATGGTTCTGTCGTCCCGGACCATCGTGGTCCCTGGTCTACTTAGTCAGAGGAGGTAGTCGACCCAACCTGACAGAAGGATCCTTTTCGGCAGCCATGGGTTGCTTCGTCCAAGGGGACCTTGTAGACATGGGGTGAATGTTTGTCTAAGAGGACAAATTTTAATCCACCTTAGCTGACAGAGGGCTTTGTGCCCTATCGATCATATCCTATTGATTCATATCTTAAGGATTTGATGTCATTAAGGAGCGTATTGGCTCTGGCCATAACCAGTATTTTGTGGTGCCATTTGGCGGCAAAATCACTCGGTTCAGAGGGCCCCAAGTCATAACCGTTTATCCTACGGTGCCATTTGGCGACAAAACCGCCGGTTAGAGGACACGTACCACGTCCTTATTGGCAGGAGATTGTTTGAGAATGGATCATAGTGATATTTTCGACTAGGCATTTGGTTCTATGTGAGCTGAAATAGTTTTCATTTTGTCCACCTGATAAACTGTTGCGGATGGTGGATGGATTTTGCTTTGAGTGATTGACGGATGATTTCGAATTTAAATATCTTGGAATTTTGGATTTGTTAGGTTTTGGACTTTGTGGAGTTTTTAATTTATGCATAGTTGGGTGGAGCTTGAAAGTATTTGTGAATCCCTCCGGTTGAGATAGACATTCAACACGGTCATCATTGGGGTATTTGGGGGCATTTTCATTTTCTGGATTGAACATTGTCGACTCTATCTACTGGTCGACAGAGGATCAGGTTTCATGGATGCCTTTATTAGTGAATTCTCTTAATTATAGGCCTTGAAAGCCTAATATGATTGTATTAAAACAAATACACCGATCGCCACAACTGTGTTTTTATTTGAAGGTTCGAATCCTGTCGACTCCTATTGATCCATATAGGAAGATCGGGTTCGAACATGAATTCACTTATTGACCAGCGCAGCATCCCTAGACGTCACGTGTGTACCAATAACACGCTCGTAGAGGCCCATGCGGGTGTTTGGGTGGCATTTTATATTTATACCCAGTCGACTCTCTTTCACTTGCTTAGGTGGATCGGGTTCAAATTTACTAACCCGCGCAGCATCACTAGACGTCACGTGTGTTCCAATAATATGCTCGCCGAGGCCCATGCGAGTTTCATGATTTCTTTTACCCCCTTTAGTATACCTACGTGTATACAAACTACTGTGCACGTGCGGGGGTACTTTGAAAGTATTTATAAACGCCTTATGTCCGCTTGCATAGAAGTTGCGGATCCGGTGGCGTGGCGTAGCAGCTTCTGAATAGAGTTGTTTGCTGCTTCGTGCAGGTAGATTGTCGTGCACTACTCATTGCTTTCTGCAGGTGGATCGTAGTGCACTAACTAATCTCCTGTCTTTAGTTGTAGGAGCTTGCACTTATCGTATTATTCATGCATTTTGTTGTGGTCTTTGGTCTTTTTAGTACATCCGCTACTGCTGCATGTAGGTAGGTAGATATCTTCATTTGCAGGCTAAAATTGACTACAAGACACTCTATTTACTGAAATCTTTCTACATCTACCCACATATGATATATGGTGCTCACATCTGTATTCGTGGACTTGTATGTATTGCAGATCTTCTAGACCATCTGTCTCTATAGATGTTGCATTGCAAGCATTGCACACTCTTCATGCTTTGCAAAGATGTTTAGATCTCCAAACTTTACTCATGATCATATCACTGAACCGCTTATGGATAGATCTTTACATATATTGGAGCTCCTCTACTGCTTGAGGTATTTGCTTGCAATTATATTGTAGTCCTTGACGCAAATGTTGGTAAGTCATCTGGTTCATTAAGGCTTCTAATATCACGACCCGGCCAGGATGCTCGATCTAATGAGGCGGGTACGGAAAAATATGACAATAAAATCATAAAACATTTAACTACCTTCTTTATTTTATGTTAAATAGTCACTAAAACACAAAAATGTATATTTACCTATTGTCATTTGCACGTCGCCTTCTGTAGACAAATTTTTCTCTGTTAGCCATTTATTTCCTTTTTGAAACTTACCTGAAACATTTAAACTCGTGGGTTGAGTTTACTAAGTAAACTCAGTGGGTAATTATTTAAATAAACAATATTAATATTCTTTATTTACAATACTTTTATAATCGTCAATATATGTCTTATACTCTTATCAATTCTTAATTTTTACTTCATCCATTCAGTCAATTATATATATATTCAATTAATTTCATTTAAAACATTTTAAATCTTTCATAATTCCTTTTCTTCTTTAATTTGCTCAGGAGCACCGTCTCAAAGTACCCAAAGGTACAACCTTTTCCATTATTCATTTTCCATTTCCATTACCTTTTCCTTTTCCTTTTTACGTGCACAAGTACGCCATCCCCAGCCAGTACCATAAGGGGGTGAACTTCTGAAATTTTCATATATATCATTTTCCTTTCATTTACATTACCATGAATATTTCTATTCATTTTCTTATATCATTCCTTTTTAACATTTGTTTAATACATGTATTTTCTTTTCATTCATTTATGTTATTCAATTCTTTTGTTTCTTATTTGAATAATATTTACAAATCATTAGGCCTTTAATCTTTCAATATTTCATTTAAAAATAAAACTTTGGAAGCAAAAGATCAATACTAAAATTTAAATTTCATAATCATATTTACCCACATTGAACTTTTCAGGCCTTTGACGAAGAGTGTTACCTCGAACCTCTCTCCAAATCTCTAACATTAAGCAATAAAGTTTTCATGAATTTGCTTTATCAAATAAAATTCAAGAATAATTTCATGACAGAAATTTCTTACAATGGGGTTTTCCAAAAATCATTTTTCTTTTTCCAAAATTCTCTCTCTTTGCTTCAAATCTCTTCATTTACCTTCAAGAAGCATATTGTTCACTTTAAACGAAGAAAAGAAGAAAATTTATACAAAAATTCGTAAGAAAATCCAACAAACCTTTTTCCTTTTCTTTCCTCGTTCGTTTCTCTCGTTCTTCAAATCTCTCGAAAAATAACACTCTGATAATGATAAGAATGAAAAGGAATTGTTATTTCTTACCCTTAAAGATAATCATTTGCTAAAAATTGGAGAAGGAGAACATACCTCGCTCTCACGCACGAAACCGCCGCTCGCCCCTCTCTGTTTCGCGAACGATTGCTGTACCGCGAACCTTCCTATTCGCGAAGAAACAGTTATTACATCTAATCTTCAATGTACAAGTTTCTTGGTCGATTGATATGAATACAACAGATTTCATGTTGGCTATACATAAATCGAGGGTCATGTATCATATCTATTCTTCTCATTTGAAAGTAGACTCTTGCATGCTCATTTACACATTAGCCTGTATTGATAACAAAGGATCCTCTTCTTCTACCTCTCCCTTGCTTTGCCTATGAACATATCACTACATCATCCTTGCTACAACTCATATTTTTTTTATTGCATTGTTATTGACATGCTCATTGCTCTTGCTCTTTTAGTTATAAACAAGTTGTAGGTGTACTGTAGTTTACACCATATGTTCATTACAAGTCTTCTACACATGTTTGTAGGCAAGTCTTGTGATGTCATTGGAAAGTCAAGCTTCTTGCGACTCGATTGAGCTCAAATTGGGTTCAGTTCTTTCTGTTCATCTGGATCCTTATAATCGTTGAAATTATCTCACACTATTCAGCTACATGATTGAAATAAGTATCATGAACTGGTTTATTGCTAATTGCATGTAGATTTTGCAATTCCTTGGAGACATTATGTTGTTATGTTGTATTATCATCATTTCTGAGCGAATGGTGCCTTGCAAGTCTATTGATCCACAAGTTTATACATTTCAATTTGCATCTCAATTGAAATGGTAGTCTTCCAATATTTCATTGGTAGTATTGTCGTCATCGTTCAAATGAGGTTTCATTATTGCTCTTTCATCTTATAATCTTCATGTCATGATTTATTTAAGTCAAATGAGTTTCAAGTCCATGTTCAAATATAAGTTCATTTCATAGTTCCAGTTCAATATCAAAGTTCTTTGCATTTGTTCTTTTGAATTCATGTTATGCATTGTCCTTTATTGTTCAAATGTGTTCAATCAGGTCCAAGTATAGTATTGTGTTCACCCGAAATTTCGGAAGCCTCCCGGAGTGTCCCCCGTTTAGGGGCAAACTACGGGAAATTGGGCCTTTCCCACCACACTAAAAAAAAACATGTATGATAAATGTCCTCGGACGAGGACACCGCGGCCGTTTTTTTTTTTTTTTTTTTTGATCCCCACCATGCTTAAAGAAAAGCGTGTATAAGGAATCTTTGATGACCTGGTGCAAAGGAAAAGGCAGTTGTTTTCCGCAGCAAGCGGGTCTTATGAGTAAATCCCCGCTTTGTCGTACACCATCGCACCGGGATTCCTATCCCATCACGCTAAAAAAGCGTTTTGATACGGTTTTCTGGTCGCTACGAAACTCCAAAGAATGGACTTTAAAGTGATCAACCGGATTTGTTGAGAGCACCACGACGAACTTCTCCCACCATGCTAACTAAAGCGTGTTATTGCTGGTCGTTTTCGTCAACGTCTACGACAACCGAACCCATCAAATAACGGTTCTCAAGAAGTTTAGGGTTAAAGGGTTATAACATGCGCCGGGTTGTCGGCTGTTTGCACGAGATCGAAGGCATAGCATAGGCATTATTATTTATATTAAATGTATATTAATTACAATCATTAAAATAAATATTTTAATTAATCATTATAAAAATTTTAAAATCAATTAAGTTTTATAAAAGTTTATAATTAATTTAGAATTAATTATAACTAATTAATATAAATATAAATAAATTAAAATCTAATGATATATCACATAATAATATATAATAATATATATATATATATATATATATATATATTATTAAAATAATGATACTAATAATAATAAAAATAAAAATCCCTCCCCCTAAACTCCTCTCTGATCACAGAACTTTTATTTGGTCCGGTGAACGTACGCTCCTCTACGTTCGGCCACCAATATTTTAGCTACACGTAGCATGAAGAAAAGTGGCCGACCCGACCTGCTGTTTTTTGGGTTCTAGCGCGTGCTTTTTTTTAAATCCTTGACGAGCCGAACAACATCCCATCACCTTTTCGATATATTTCAAATACCTAGCAAATACCGAGTTGTACCTAGTTTTTTCTAGCAATACCGAGCAAACCTTTTCGATATATTTCAAATACCTAGCAAATACCGAGTTGTACCTAGTTTTTTCTAGCAATACCGAGCAAATACCTAGCAATACCGAGCAAATACTAAGTTGTACCGAGTTGTACCTAGTTTTTTCTAGCAATACCGAGCAAATACCTAGCAATACCGAGCAAATCCTTAGCAATACTGAGCAAATCCTTAGCAATACCGAGCAAATCCTTAGCAAATACTGAGTTATACCGAGTTGTACCTAGTTTTTTCTAGCAATACCGAGCACATACCGAGCAATACCGAGGAAATCCCTAGCAATACCGAGCAAATCCTGAGCAAATACCGAGTTGTACCGAGTTGTAGAAAAACTCGGTACAACTCGGTATTTGTATAGTTTTGGTCTTCACAGAGCGGTATTTCTCGTTTTTGCAAAGCAATACCGAGCAAATACCGAGCAATACCGGGAAAATCGCGAACATAGCATTCCCGGTTCCGCTCGGGTCAAGTAGTTGGCCGCGCGGTAAAGAGTAAGAGCTGGCGGCCGAACGTACCTCTAGGTCAGGTCAGAGGACATAATAATTGTTCCTGATCATGGGAGCAAGTCGCAGAAGCGCGTGAAAGGGTGGAGGGGGACGCTACCTTCCATAGCGAGCGAGCTCTAGTTGGTGATTCCGATCAGAATGTCGGAAACTTCCGATTTGACAGGGAAGGGAGGTCGACGATGGAGCGAGGTCGATCGACCACAGAGGAGGCTGAGAAGCGACTCCACAGCAAGCGAGCTCTGCTCTTGCTTCCGATCAGAATGTCGGAATTTCCGATCCGACAGAGAAGGGACGAGGCCGGCGGAGATGGGAAGGGGTCGTGCGAGAGGAGTGTCGAATAGGAGTTCGGTTGGAGGCGTCGGGATCGGAGTGGTGTTTTTCTTGGGTCGGTGAAGATGGATCGGACAGAGACGAGAGGAAGGAGGTCGGGAGAGGAGCTCGTGGATTTTGGGAGAAGCCGAGAAAAACCAACCGAGCCCAGCTCTCATTTCTGTCTCTTTTTAACGACAAGAATAAGACGACGATCGAGGCGAGTGCGGGAATAGCGGAGAAGTGATCGAGCGGCGCCGAATGCACAGGATTTATGCAGGATTTCCGGAGGGCCTCGGCGGGATTTGCGGACAGGTATGATTTTGCTTTTTTTTTTTTTTCATTGTTCAAAGGTCAACAGCAATACCCAAACAAACGTTCTGTTTATTTTCATAAAGTTATAAATAAGCCAAACCAAGTGGACCCTTAGTTTATTTTGTTCCTAATCTGGATGGTTAGAACCTATCCTTAAGCATGAGAGGCCTATGTCTTTATAGCCTTTGGTCAAACCTCTAGACTATTGTTTTATTTATAGATTGTTAATCTTTAAAAAATTTTTGAAAGGTTTATAAATGTATAGAGTTGTGAATGTCTAAAACGAAGTTGTTTATTATAAAATAAGTCCGAAAGAATGAATCTTCTATTTGAAGATAATGTTTTGTGGAATTATGAAAATAGCCAGGGAATAGAAAGAAATTTTCGTTCAAATATGTACAAACATTGAAAAAGGATGTGTAGGATCTGGGAGCACACAATATCCTGTGCTGTGATGTCTTCAAAAGAGGCCAAGCTTGTTCTTGGGAACAGCATATTCATTGCATTAGCAAACCTTTGGTCAAACCTCTAGATTATTGTTTTATTTGTAACCTTTAATAATTCTTAATGATTAATGGTATATATGATCTATTGCTGGTTTCCAGTTCGCTTATTGAAAAATTTACTTCATCTTAATTTATACTTATTGCAAGGTTGGGTTAGTAATTTATGCTGTTGAAGGCCATCTAGTGCTGATTTTGATATGATGCTATACAATTTTATTGCTCTTCTCCATCACTCCTTCCCTTCTTGTCCATTTTCTATTGCATGATCTGTTTTATGAGATTACTGTACATTACTGTGCAGGCAATTGAACTTATGGTTGTTGATGCCCTAGTAAAAGCAAATGATCATCTTGAGATTTCATCTTACACTACTGACCCGGCTGAATATTGGAAGGTTCTTTGATTGGTGTTCATTATTCAAACTATCTAATCATATGCATAACATGCCAAATTTATGCTATACTATTTTTGCAGCTTGGTGATAATATTCTTAAAATTATTGAGACATCACCTGATCCAGAACTGAAGGAATCTAGAGAACTTATCCTCCGAATTAGGAGGAGGGATTTATACCAGGTAGTGCTCTGTCTTTAGACTTCGATTGCCACAACCAAGTTTTCATTTTTAATCCGATGGCGCATTATGCGATAGATCTATAATTTGAAATATTTCAATTTGCATTTGCATGTAATGGCAGTTTTGCAATGAATATGCTGTTCCCAAGAACAAGCTCGACCTTTTTGAGGACATCACGGCACAAGATATTGTGTGCTCCCAGGTCCTACTCGTCGTTTTTCAATGCTTTTACATATTTGAAAGAAAATTTCTTTCTATTCCCACGCTATTTTCTTAATTCTGCTGTTCACAAATTTCTAGAAAACTAGTGGAGTGCAATTGAGGGAAGAGGATGTTGCTGTTAGCAATGTTAAAATTGATCTAACTTGTGGAAGAAATAACCCTCTAGACAGGTACTCCATGCTTTGTATTGCTACAGTTATTTCTTTATTTCTGGAAATTACTAGGTGAAGACGCTGATATCTTCTTCTTTTGTTTCCTTTTTTATCGTTTGTATCCAGAATCAGTTTCTTTAAGGTAATACTCATCCATTTTTTGCTTTAGTAGTTAGCCTTTATCATTCTTTTTCACTGTTCACTTTCATAGAAAAGAACTAATCCGCTATTCCTAATTATCTACAATTCTCTACATAGATGAGTTCTCGATGTTTTAGAGAAGAAACAAGATTTTTTCTAATGATCTGAAATTTCGTAATTAGATAACACCTTAAACTCGGAACTCTCTACGATCATGTTCTCATTAACAACTTTTGTCTTTGTCTTTGATTCTTATCTTGTAATTGGCATTCTTTGCATTCTGTACTTTCGATGTTTTTGTAAATGTATTGCTAGCGGCCCAGCTTAAACCTCCCTCAAAAACGGGTTTTGAGGGGAAAAAACTCTAATTTATAATCTAAATAGCAAAGCTTGCTTTCATTTAGTTCTAGATCATGCATCTTGTAGATTTGATATTATTAGAGTCCAAATAGCCCAGCTTGCTGCATCATTTGCATTTCATTAATGCATCTTATAGATTTGATATCGTTCAGCCTCTTATCTGGTGGAATCTTCAGAATTTCCTTGAACTCTTCAACGAAATCATAAAAAATTTCTTATTTCTATATATCACTTAAATTATGTATTTCCATTCTAAAGGATTATGAGAGCAAAGAAAAATTTTATATCTCTGATGACCGCATCAGCCACCTTCTTCCTGCATCTTATCTAGACAGAATTGTCAGGGTGTACGCTAAAAAACCTGAGCTGGTTGGTGTTCTCAGTCCAGTTACGTTCATTTATTTACTTCTTTGTTTACCTCAAGGCATGAAACTATTTTATATTATTGCAGGTAGAGGCAGTATCTGAAGCATTTGAGAACTTTCAGTTGAGAATGTATGGAATTAAAGCACAGGTGCATGAAACTCCTGAGAAGAAGAAGCGGAGGAGGTAGTCATTCCTGCAATCCCTTGGCTATACCTTATCAAAACTTTTACACTACGTATTCTTATCAATTTGTTTGTGGAAGTGAATATTTTCTGAAACATAACATTCCCTATACCTAAAGAGTAATTGATGTGTTTTTTTTTTTTTTTCCAAAAAGATGTTAAGGTAAAATATGTAAAGGTTTGGAGATTTTATATGAAGAGATAAAATAAGATTTCTAGAGTTGAAGATCCATTACTAGTTAAAATTCATTGAAAATGCTTTTTTTTTTTTAATTTTAACTGGAGAATTTATATTGTGATGCCTTGATGTCTTTGAAGTCTAATTCTCCCCAAAAAAACTAACATTTCTATAATTAATTATATTTCAGGAATATTTAAAAATAATCAGTGTGAAAAGTTACGTGTGTTCTAGTTTCAATCAAGATCTTAAAAAAGTTGACCCCAAAAAATATTCAAGAATAAATAAAAAAAAATTAAAAATTAAAAATTAAAAAAAGATATGATCTTATCAAATTTCATGGTACCATTAACATGGGTTATTAGATTGTAAATCTAATTAGTTAGGTAGATAGAAGACTCAATATGATAATTTTTTGTGAACTATCAGGAATTATGTCGTCTAAAAAAATCTCAAGACGTAGGGCTAAAGATGATAGAATAACTTTTCAAACTTTATCTAGTATATAGATGAATATACAAATTATTCTTATATATATGGAATTTTTAAACTTTATCCAGTATATAATACTCTTATAATATAAAGAGATGCAATGAAAAAAGATGGCATAGTAAATTTGATGGTACAGTAAAACTACTCAAATAACCTTAGAATTTATTTCAATTAAAATTGCCACAAAATTTTCTACACATACTAGATTGCCATTTAAGTGACTCTAAAAAAATCCTGTCATTATATAAAATGTACATAAGGCAAGTATTTTTCAGGAGACATGAATGATCCAATATAGTTTATTCTTAACATGAAGCCGTTTAGCTAGCATGCAGGGGAAATTGTTCGTGCCATGAATGATGCATCTGCTACATTTGACTGATCACAAATTGCCTGTTGTGATGATGTGTATGCAACATTGTTTGTTGATTCTATTTTCATATAAACACAACTGTTACAAGTTTATTTTAAAAGTGGTAGGTCTTGAGTGAGATCATGTAATAATTCCTAAGAAAATTTTTTAGGATTAATTTTAGAACTCATCAACATTTTGATTAGTTGTTTATAAAAAATTCCTCAGAATTTAATTATTTCATTACCGTTGCCAGTTCCACCATCGACTCTAAAGACATTCTCCTCTACACACTCAATGGCTTGCCTCCCTCCTACCAGGCTTTCAAAATGGCAATTCGAGCATCCCTTTCTCCAATGAGCCTTGATGATTTCTATTCTCTCCTATGCAGCGAGGAGATAAATCAAACCACTGAACAGGCGAAATACTCTCTCCAGCTCTCTCTCGCTACCGACTTAGTTGCTTCCCGTGGTCTCTACAACTGATCATCCAGCGGCTCCCGTCCCGCAACACCTACCCATGGAGGTGAGTGGTCAACACCTCAGCCTGTTTGACAAATCTGCCATAAAGTTGGTCACACTACCAGCAAATGTTGGCATCGCAGCGACCAGCTATTCCAACTGACCTCTCGTCCAACACCTATTGCTATTGTCTCCCAACTTCAAGCTAGCTTCCATTCTTCTACCAACCAGTGGATCCTGGACTCCGGAGTGTCCTCTCACATTACCAACGATCTCAACCTTCTTCAACAATCTACTCCATACGACGTCAGCGAATCAGTACTGGTCGGCGACGGTTCAACCTTACCGATCACTCACACCGGACATGGAATCCTCCCCACCCCTCATCCCTCCCGTAAGATCTCCTTAAATAATATTCTCTATGTTCCCCCCTCATCACAAAAACTCTTGTCCATTCATAAACTAACAAAAGATAACCACTGTTATATTTTTTTGACTCATATGGATTTATTCTCAAGGATCGCTCTACCCATCAAACCCTCTTTAAAGGTCGTAGCATAAATGGTCTATATCCCTTACCGATTACCTCTCTGCCACACGTCACTCTTGCATCTCAAGCTAATACATCCACGCTTTGGCACGCTCGCCTCGGACATACACATCTAGCAAAGTTATATTTCTTACTCAAGCAACTTCAATTACCTATTTCATATACTTTAGTTAATTTTGTTTCTTGTAATGTGGACAAGATCCATAAACTTCCCTATCCAAAATGTAGTTCTTCTAATTATAATGCATTAGAACTTATCCATACCGATGTTTGGGGTCCTTACCCTATTGCTTTCTTTTCCGATTTCAAATATTATGTCATTTTTGTGGATGATCGCACTCACTATTCTTGGCTATTCCCTGTGCATTGTAAATATAAAATTTTCAACATTTTCAAACAATTTCTTAAAATGATCGAAAACTTCTTTCACTCAAAAATTAAAATACTTTGCTCTGACGACGGCGGAGAGTATACCTCCATTCCCTTCCAAACATATCTTTCCTCCAACGGCATAATTCATCAATATAGTTGCCCCAACACCCCAAAACAAAATGGCATCGTCGAATGCAAACACTGTCATCTCCTAGAAACCACCCGAGCATTACTTCATGCTTCCCATCTCCCCTTCGCCTTTTGGCTCGAGGCCCTCACAACAGCCCTCTTCCTAATTAACTGACTACCATTAAAATCCACCAATAATACCTCCCCCTTCCAACTCCTTTATTATACAATCCCCACATACAACCATCTCAAAACATTTGGCTGCCTATGCTTCCCCTGGCTCCAACCCAAAACACCTCATTAGCTTGCTCCTCGCTCCATAGAATGTGTATTCCTCAGCTACTCATCCACCCACAATGGCTATCACTGCTACAACCTCTCCACCCATAAAATCATCATCTCTCACCATGTCACATTTAATGAAATAACCTTTCCCTCTAAACAACTCACTCCTCACATACTCCCCACTAATTCCTCACCCTCAAACCCCCTCCTCCTAACTCTAATTCCCACAACATCTCCTTCTAAACCAATCCAGCAACCTGACCACACTTCCCCACTACACACCCACCAGCCACCTATCTCCACCAAAAATACCAGCCCTTCCCCAAAAACTCTACCACAAACTTTACCTATTATTTTAAGTCCATCAACTACCTCCAGCAGCTCCAAACTCATCCTCCCACATCCTCCTACTACCCAATCAGTTCATCCTATGACCATCCGTTCCCAAGATGGAATTTTAAAACCCAAACTAATTTTCTTTCTAACTTCAACACCCTCTCCTCCATCTACACCCAACTCCTACTCCCAATCCTCAAAGTATCCCACTTGGCGCCAAGCTATGTCCGAGGAATTCCTTGCCCTTCAACTGCAAGGTACTTGGTCCCTAGTACCCCCACCCCTAATCATACTATTCTCGATTGTCGCTAGACCTACAAAATAAAAACCAAGCCCGATGGCATCATTGAGCGCTATGAGGCTTGCATAGTTGCTCAAGGCTTTAAATAATAATTTGGGATTGACTTCTCCGAGACTTTCAGTCCTATCGCAAAAATTCCCATTGTGCTCCTCCTCATCATCGCCCTCCACTATATGTGGCCCTTTTATAAACTCAACGTCTCAAATGCCTTGTTGCATGGTATTCTTCATGACACCATTTATATGTTCCAACCTCAAGGATTCATTGACACCACTCACCCAATATATGTCTGCAAACTCCACAAAACCCTCTACTACCTCACACAAGCTCCCCGTCTTTGGTTTCAAACCTTCTACTCCCATCTCACAACTCTCAGCTTCACCTTTAGCAATGCTGACCCCTCTCTACTCAAATTCAACAATTCAATTCTATTTTCTCCTGTATGTCAACGACATTCTCATTACCTCGAATAACACCATGTTTCTCCAAACCATTCTCTCAAATCTCAAAACAAAGTTCTCTCTCAAACCACCTACTCCCATATCTATTTTTCTTGGTATTCAAGTTCATACCACTCCAACTGGCTACCTTTCTTCATCAACAAGAATATGCTAACAACCTCCTCAAATCAGGTTTTGCTGATTGTAAGCCCGCTCTTACTCCCATGTCCACTAAATCTTCCATTAAACCCGAAGACAGCCTTCCCTGTGCCCCACTCTTTTTTGGCAACTTGTAGGTTCTCTCAATTATCTCACAATCACTAGAGTAGATATTGCCTTTACCACCAACATTCTTTGCCAATCCATGCACAACCCCCTTAACAAGGATTTCCAATAGTTTAAGCACCTCTTGTGCTATATTAAAGGCTCCACAAGTCTTGGGCTACCAATCTACAAAGGAACATTACAACTTCATACCTACGCCAACTCTGATTGGGCCTCCGACCTCAATTATCGCAGATTTATTACCATATATATATTGCTCCTTTATAGGGGATACTCTTCTCTCTTGGCATGTCAAGAAGTAACCCACCATTGCAAAATCTTCTACCGAGGTTGAATATCGAGCACTAGTATCTGCATCTATTGACATTATCTGGCTAAGACGCTTCCTATCAGACTTCAGCATCCCTGTTACCTCTCCAACCAAGCTACATTGTGGCAACGTATCTGCCTTAACCTTAGTCAACAATCTAGTTTTTCCTGTCCGGACCAAACACATTGAGAACAACTACCACTTCATCTGGGATCGCATTCGCGCTAATAAGGTTATCATTCACCATAGCAATCACATATCATTACTTGATGAATTTGATGCATTAAACAAAAAGCATACTAAATTATCTAATGCACATGATTCCTTTAATTCATCCTAAATTGAGTTAGAAAAAGAGTTTAAGAAATTAGCAAATCTCAAAGCTTTTGAAAATAATAAATCATCAGTGCATGTCACATAACTTTAAAAAGAAGCATCACCACCTGAGTAGATTAGTACATCCTTTTTCTGGTGTTAGATATTTTTCATGTGGCATGTTAGGACACATTGCACATACTTGCACCATTCACCGTAGTACACATTGGGTGTGGAGATCCAAATTGCATGATTCACAGCATAACACACATGCATTACATTTTACTTTGCATAAGAAGGGACACAAAGATGTTTGGGTTCCTAAATCTGACGTTTGATGATTTTGTAGGCTTGCTCTCACAAAAGGCCTCATGAGAGCATATGATATCTAGACAGCTGATGCTCATGACACATGATTGGAGATGC